AGGGGAGAGTCGGGGGATGGTCGGGCGGATCCGAGGCTTTCGGCTGTTGCCATCGAGATCGGAGGTGGGTCGTGGGGTTGCCGGCGACGTCGCAGCCAAGGGACGGGGCAGGCGGCAGCTGGGAAAGTAGTGAGAGGAAAAGGGTGGGAGGAGAGAGAAATCACACAGGGGAACATGGAATGGACTTTTGGAACATTTCCTAAATGGCAAACCCGATAGCCCGACGCGATCCGACCCGATTCGTTATCCGGTTTGGGTTTCGTGCGGATCGGGTTTTGGATCGGGTCACTAAAACATGAACGCTTCATTTCTGGGTCGGGCTGAATATAAACCCGATCGAACGGGCAGCCGAGACAGCAAGAAGGAAGAAATAATAGACCAGCGTTTTACCTTCTTGGCCTCCTTGTACTCGGTGACAGCCTTGCGAGAAGCATAAGAGAAGTTGACATCAGGACCCCCCAATTCAGGCACAATGTAGCGGCTGGACCAAATAAGATGGATGGGTCAGTTAAACATGAAAACAAACGATTCTCGCACTTGTCTCAGAACTATCACTTACTAGTTGGTGTCAAACCACTTGATCATTTCCATAGCAGGGACGGAGGCGTTTCCTCTGGCCATCAGGAAGTAAACATCGAATCTGATCTCACCACCATCCCAGCCATATCTGGCGGGAACAGCACCGAACATCTCGGTGGCGTCAAGCACCTGATCATAGTATGAGAAGGTGTTGCTGGGAATGTACTCGATGCCGGCAGCGGCCATCTGCTTCCAGATGGATGACCTGAGATCAGCTCCAACTTTCTGCAAATCCTTCGCAGTGCTCTTACCATCCCAGAACGATTCCAGGGCAAACTTGAGCTCCCTCTTGGGGCCGATGCGAGGATATCCAACGACGTGGGATGCCATTTATCTGGATCATCGAACAAAACATCAACTACAGGGAAGTAGCCTAGTGTGACTCACTCGGTTACTCAGTCTAAGAATGGAGAAACGCGAGCAATGCAAGGATCCTACCTTGGCGGAGACCGAACCGGGGAACGAGACAGCACTGTAGTCTATTGCAGTGGCGAGAGTGCGAGGGATAGAGAGACAAAGAAGAGAGAGTACGAAGCGACGAAAAGGAAGTGGAGAGGATTCGTAATTTATATAGCCGGAGGTGGGACAGAACTGGGATGGAAGAAGACAAGAGACCTGCGGGATGGATGAACGAAGACTCGCGGGATTATGTATCTTCTTTTCATAATCCCGCGATGCCCCTTTCAGACTCGCACTTCTTTCATCGGGATTATGTATCTTCTTTTTATAATCCCGCGATGCCACTTTCAGAGTCGCAGTCATAATCCCGCGAGTCTTCTTTCATCCACCCCGCGAGTCTCTCGTCTTCTTCCAACCCCGCGAGTCTCGTCTTCTTCCATCCATAACCGCGCGGGTCTCCTTTCTTCCACCCCGCAAGTCTCTTGTCTTCTTCCATCCCAGGTTGCGAGTCTGAAAGGGGCATCGCGAGATTATAAAAAGAAGATACATAATCCCGCGAGTCTTCGTTCATCCATCCCGCAGGTCTCTTGTCTTCTTCCATCCCAGGTCTGTCCCACCTCCGGCTATATAAATGACCAATCTCTGTTCTCTTGTCCATCCCACCTTCGGCTGCGAGGAGAAAAGCGATGAATATATATGTGTGTGTTTGTGTATTATATATATAATAATATTTGGAAAAGTAAAGAAGATTCCGTGCAGGCAGTTGGAGGTAACTTCCCCCGATGAATTGCTTACTCAGGCATTTTATTAACGAGAAACGTGATGGCCGAGGGACCCACCAACACGTTGAAAAACATGCTGATTTGACCACATTTTCCTAAGAAATGGCCAGGAGTCACCATAGACTACAGATGATCTTCTCTATGCTCCTTCAGCATAGTCACACTCAATCATTCAATATTTACACTTACGAAAATTATATATATATATATATATATATATATATACATACACACATACACAGAGTAAATCTCCGAATCTTTACTTTTTCCTTCGCCCTCCAAAAATCAAAGTACCGAACACTATTCGTTAAAGTATAAAATCATACCTACTCGAAACCATAGCACCACCTAGAGGTGGCAAAATGGGTCTATGATCCATATTTGATGATAAGCCTTAATTTGGAGATAGGTCATAAATGAATTGCCTAGCAACTTTTGCCTTAAATTGATTGAGAACTAATCAATTTCTAACCCATGTGAAAAATAGAGAACTTTTTCACCGATTTTCTAGTAATAAATAAAGTGACCAATACGTCAAGTGGAGTTGGAGATGTAAGGACAATTTTTATAATTTCCTATTTTATCTTATTTTATCTTATTACTTCTTTTCCTTTTTTTTTTCTACGAAGTCCAGCGAGGGTTGCTAGGGTTGACCAGACGAGAGCTCGGCCATTGGCCGAGGGCTGATATTGGCTTAAATATGAAAGTGTTATAACAATCTGGATTGGGTGCAGGTTAGGTTGGGTTTGATTCACTAAATATGAAAGTGACCTGTTTGACGGGTCCAAGCACCACCACCCCCACTTTCCTTTCACACTCAGCACACTTTTTGCCACCCACAAATATTTCTGGCAATGTTTCTGGAACCGCAGAAAGGAGCCTAGAGAAGATCCGGCAGTTTTGCCATTTTTGTGAGGGCAATTCAGAGGGTCGATGCAGACTATACAGAAGCAAAAGGCTCAACACCCTGGTTTGTCTTTTTGAGTGTACTCTAATTGTGCAGATTGCAGGTATGATTGCTAGAGAAGACAGTCAACGGCTCATTTGACTCTGAAACAGCTTCCAATAACCCTTTGAAGATTAAAGGCCTCTATGAACAGATCAAAGGTAACTTTGAAGATGGCCGGAAATTCCGAACTTGCATTCTCACTATGTCGCAAGATGCACTCGAGCTTTCACTTGTGCAATGTTTGTCTTCCGATTGTAATTCTATGTGAGGAAGAGAGGGGAATGGAGGGTTGTAAGAGGTGCTTGTGCTTGTAGAACTCTAAGCTTCTTGTAGTAGGAGCACCGTCTACAAACTGTAAAAAATCGGCGATTACTTGATGGATTCAAGTCTTGCTCGTGGCTGTTAGAGTTGAGAGAGTAAAGTGTGCCAAGTGGAAGGCTGAACTTCGACCAAAAAAAAGAGGCCAAACCACTATGAATTTGTCCTGAAATATCTTCTATCTCTTTAATTCTTTTATTATATGTCTAATAGAAGTTGCTGCATCTGCATAATTAATCCCCTTCCCCCAAAAGCACATTCTCACATCTTCCACTCAAAAGTTTTAATGTTCTTAAAACAACCAATCACCCCTTCTTAGTTGTTGTTTTAGCCATTTCAATTGGTATCGGAGCATGTGGCTCAAGTTTTTGAAGTGTTATAGTTCAAGAGCAAAAAGATCATTATGGCTCACATCATAGCAGCATCCTTCATTGAAGGCAATCCAATTCAGACCATAAATGTTCGATGGATCTAACTATATCTACTGGAAATTTAGGATGAAAATCTTCGAAAAATCCACGGATTATAATCAGTGGAATGCCGTCGAGAATGGACCACACATAACAGCACCGAGAAAATCAGGGCCTCTGTCTGCAGAAACAACTACTTCTTCTACAACAGAATTTCCACCTCCAGCAACCGAAATTTGATAAATATGATACGGTGTTTGGATCATCCGAAAACTCAAGTTCCTTCTCAACCATTGCACCCACCCTTTCTTTTCTCTTTTTTCGTCTGATCGAGATCCCATCGATTGTGTTTATACATGCCATGACTTAATGAAATGTGTGATATGAAGCTATTTTTTGACATAGTCCGTGATTACTCCACATACATCTTCTGTATATATTGTACACAAGATGCAAACCAAAAGAGCAAAATTTTGACATAAACACTTAACGGCAAAGAGTATCATGAAACTCCATAAACCAATGCTAAGACGAACTATAGCCGCATCTTGTCGCATGCTTCTCTATATCGTGATCCAGCTCAACCATTAAAGGCAATGCCATCTCGGAGATCTGCGACGGAAGCATTGAAAATTCCTGAGACAATAATAGAATCATGCTTCAGCGGAGTACGTAACCTGTATTATTGTTATTGTTATGGCCACAAGAGCATTTGTAATGGCCCCTTGTCAAGTGACACGATCTTCGTCAGTAGGGACAGACGAAGCATCACTGAATTTATTAGAGGAGATTAATTTCTTCGGTCACGATGCTAATCAAACAGGGTATAGATTTCTCTCTCTCAAGACCCCTTTTTCCTAACAGGCCCGACCCAGCACTGGCCCAATTGGGTCTGGCCGTACCACGCTTGTGCCAGCACGGCCCATTGGCCATTGCCAAGCTGTAAGTACATCAACCTCAAAAGACTAGACTATCGTACATAAATTAAGAACATCGATATTATTAATCATGTAAATCTCGTGACGGAATTCATGCTATCAATAGCAATTTAACATGATGTAAAAGGCATTTAATACGGAACTCTCTCCGGTGGCAGATGCCGAAACTTAACCAGACGAGAACGTTAACGAAAACATATTATTTCGCGAAACACATTAGTTACTAGGGGTGTTAAAACCGAACCGAAAAACCGAACCAAGATACGAACCGAACCGAACCGAAAATTTCGTGCATTTCGGTTCGGTTTCGGTTTCGGTTCGGATCATCAAAATAAACCAATTTTTCTTTTCGGATCGGTTTGGATCGAACCGAACTAAAATAAACACTTCGGTTTAGGGCTATTTTGCCCTCTCTCTCCCCTTCTCTCTCCTCTCTCTTTCTGCTTAATGAACTTGAAACCGAAAATTGATCCGAACCAAACCGAACCAAATCGATTTTTCGGTTCGGTTCCAATTCGGTTCGGTTCAAATTCAGTTCGGCTCAAGGGGGCACCCTTAATGGTTCGGTTTGGTTCGGTTTTCTTGAAAAATCGAACCGAACCGAATCATTTACACCCCTATTAGTTACATAAGTAGTTGCACGTCCAGCATGTCATCGGACCAAAAGCAAAGCAGCAAATACAGACTCCTATTGTTATTTTTTCTCTTTTCCCGCTAATATGATATGAGTAGACGATAAGGATGAAGTCAGCCGGCACGCCCTCTCGCTCCGATCCAATGCCGTTCGCCTGCAATAACCGAACGCGCCCTCAGATCTGACAACATGAAAAAGGAACAGAAACGGCGATCCGTCCGGCAACGACACGTTACTCTCAATCTACGATGCCTCGGACGAACCGAATGAACACGAAATATCTCACCTGAGTGCGAACCAGGGGGGGCTCGGTCGCTGTCGCTGTCGCTGCTGCTGCTGTCGCCGCCGTGCTCATGCTTCTTGTCCTTCTTCTCGTGACCCTCCTTGTCGTGGTGGTCGCCGCCGTGGCCACCGTAAATGCTCGATATTTTCTTTGAGCTAACGTCATAAAAAAATTCAAATTGATACGTCTGTGATAAATCTATCAAAAATTAATATTTTGATCGCCAAAAACCTCAAACTGATACATTTATAATAAATTTATGACAAATTGGTACATTTATGATAAATTTATCCTCTGTTAATTTACCACGAAAAATCACAAACTGGTATACATGTGACAAACAGATGGGTAAAATCCCAAACTGGTACACATGTCAATTTATCCAACTCAATAATTTGATGGTAAAATTTAACGGAAACTAGCGGAGGATAAATTTATCACAAGTGTACCAGTTTGGGGTTTGTTTTGGGTAAATTTATCATAAGTGTATCGGTTTGGATTTTTTCTTGGTATTAACCCTATTTTCTTTGGGGAATTTTGGTTTATGTAATTAATTCTATGGTCATTCGATTTTAATGCTACATAAAGAAGTTTTTAGAGAATTTGCCGCGTATAAAATATTCAAGGTGATATCTTAATATTTTTATTCAATTTAATCTCTAACCTCCGAAAAATTAACTCAATCTGATCTCTCCGTCAAAGTGTAGCACCACTTCACTTGTAATTTTCTAACGTGAAGTGCCGGGTCAGCTTTGACTCGTAAAAAAATGATGTAGCTGGCCACATCCATTTTAGTTTCCAAGTCAGCATCTTTTCCCTTCCTTTTTTTTTTCCTTTTACTTTCACACTCCCAATTCGAAAAAACGTATCACTCGAGTTTGCCACTCCTCTTTAAATCACACTTTCGATTTGGAAAAAAGTACCACACCAGTTCATGACGAACTTCAGAGACTTGAATCATCCAAAAAACAGGGTTTGGGTCCGCACAAGCGGAATCCACAATTTCTTCTCATACAGGAAGATACTGCGGAGACTGAATCAGCAGCACGAGATAAAAACTAAAGGGTTAATACCACAAAAAGCCCAAAACCGGTACACACGTGATTAATTTAACTCAAACTAATTTTTTAGACCACCAAAAACCTCAAACTGGTACATTCGTGACAAATTTACCCTCCATTAAATTAGTATCCGAGGATTTCGGTGGTTGCCATCGAGATCGGAGGTGGGTTGTGTGGTTGCCGGCAACGTCACAACCAAGGTATGGCAGAGGCGGCTAGGAAAGTAATCAGACGGCAAAGGGAGGGAGGAAAGAGAAAGATATAATTGAACAAAACTTTAACTTAACGTGCAATATGATAATTTTTAATTTGTTCAATATGATCCGTGAACTTTAGCATAATATTTAATATGGTCCATAAACTCTTTATTTGTTTTATGTGATCTCTCGTGATACATGTTCATTTTCCTCGAGGGAACATGAAATGGAATTTGGCATTATTTCGTAAAGGGTTAATACCACAAAAAACCTTAAAGTGGTACACCTGTAACAAATTTACCTAAAATTAATTTTTTTACCATAAAAAATCTCAAACTGGTACACTTGTGACAAATTTATCCTCCGTTAGTTTCCGTTAAATTTTGCCGTTAAATTGTTGAGCTTGATGACACGTGGCAGTTGATGGGTGTACCAATTTGGGGTTTTACCCTTCGGTTGTCATAAATATACTAGTTTGTGATTTTTCGTGATATTAATCAAATTTAACGGAAACTAAAGGAGGGTAAATTTGTCATAAGTATACCAGTTTGTGATTTTTGATAGTCAAAAAATTAATTTTGGGTAAAGTTGTCATAGGTGTATTGAATTAGAGTTTTTCATTGTCAAAAAATTAGTTTAGAGTAAATTTGTTACAGGTTACCAGTTTGGGATTTCTTGTGAATATTAATCCTTTCTTAAATGGCATAGACCCTAAACCCGATAGCCCGACGCGATCCGACCCTATTCGTTATCCGGTTTGGGTTGCATGCGTATCGGGTCACTGGAACATATAAAGCACTTAATCCCTTGGGTTGGGATGAATATAACCCAATCGAACGGGCCGTTGAGGTAGAAAGAACGAAGAAATGATAAGACCAAGCGTTTTGCCTTCTTGGCCTCCTTGTATTCAATGACGGCCTTGTGAGAAGCGCAAGAGAAGTTGACATCAGGACCCAATTCAGGCACAACGTAGCGGCTGGACCAAAAATTGAGATGGATGGGGTTAAATTAAAACACCAAGACAAAAATGAGTTACTGGTGCTCTTGTCTGAGATCCGTCACGCTTACTAGTTGGTGTCGAACCACTTGGCCATTTCCAAAGCAGGAACAGAGGCGTTTCCTCTGGCCATCGAGAAGTAAACATTGAATCCGATCTTGCCGCCATCCCAACCATATCTGTCGGGTACAGCACCGAGCATCGCGGTGGTGTTGAGCACCTGATCGTAGTATGAGAAGGTGTTGCTGGGAATGTACTTGATGCCAGCGGCGGCCATCTGCCTCCAGATAGACGACCTGACATCAGACCCAACTTTCTGCAAATCCTTGGCAGCGCTCCTTCCATCCCAAAACAATTCCAGGGCGAGCTTGAGCTCCCTCTTGGGGCCGACGCGAGGATATCCAATGACGTGGGACGCCATTTCCCTGGATCATCGAACAAACATCAGCTTCAGGCAAGTGACCCAGTGTAACTCACCTAGTTACCTTAGTCTACAAAATTGGGTCTAAATTGAACTCAAATTTCATCATATGTATTTGAATATCGCATTGAATTTTTTCATCTACCATGCAAGCTAATGTATATCAACATAGCATTAAATAAAACTCAGAACATTCTTGAATGCCAAATCAACTTAGGGGCAAACATGAATCACCTAAAAACACATTGACGGAAATTTTTTGTTATTTCCAGCATGGACACATCACAAAAAAAAAAAAAAAACCAATTTGCATCAACTTTATTGACTAATTACAAATAATCAAGAAACAACTGATTAACATATCACGATTTCCTATCTCTTTACTCAACAGTTAACACATGAAAGAGAGTGATGACTGAACATATCTTCTTCTTTTTTGTGTTCACCCATGGTTTTGCTTGAGAAGATATGCAAAAGTAGAATATAAACCAAGGTAGCGAAGAGAATCTGAACATAAAATTGACTATAAAATTCAATTAAAACAGAAACGACCTGATTATTGGGAATCCGAATTATTCTTGAGATTGTTGGAAAATCTGTTGGAAAAGATGAAAAATAATAACAGATTTCCGAGGCGTGCAAGCAAATATCTTAGGGATAATTCCACCTCTCGGAGTACGAAACTCAGTGCGTCAAGCTCTAGTGGCTATCCTCTCGAGATAAAATAAATCTTCATCTTTACTCCGCATAGAGTAATCGAGGGAACATGAACAACATAGCTATATGTAAAACTAAGCGAATAAATGGAAAAAAGGAAAAGAATTTCTTGTTCTTTTGTATGTTTTTATTGTGACGTAGAGATTTTCTTTATAGACAAATAAAGGAGATGGTTAATAAAGAAATAAATCAAATCAGACGTTACAAAGCCCTTAAAAATTGATTGCAGTCATACTTTCCATTAAAACTGTTACAAAACAATTGCTTCGAATAATTCAAAACCGATGAAATATCCAACAAAATTGACAAAGGAAAACAATTCCAACGACAAATATTAGGTCTTCCCAGTATCAACTAAAGGTAATTCATGTATCATTCTTTGAAATCTCGTGAGGTCCGTTATGATTTGCGCGAAATGATCGACAAAAATCGAATCTTCGTGTCTCAGCACTTTGGTATTGATCCATTGGCATACATATACGATTAAACAAGCTGTCTTGCTACACCGCGACCCAAAATATGTGAGGCTTATCACAATACGTGGCCTTATCCCATAGACCAAGCATTGACCTTGACTTGGGATATTTCAAGTCATTGCTCAACGATACTTCCCATCATTGATGCTGGTGACCCACAAAGAGCATGTGGGCGTGGTCGCCCACATCCACCATTCGATCAGATACGGGGGGAGCATGAAAAGTAATCTATGGTCCAAGGATGTCGAGCCTACAAAGTGAGGATCGTTTAGAGGTTCTTCTCTCGAAATCGTGTGGAAAACGGAATGAACACGCAAAAACCTAGGCCTCATCTTGTTACATGTGGGGGACGAAGTCGTGGGCCGTGAAATGTGAACGGGTAGAAAACCGAGTCCAAGTCAAGCTATTGAGTACAAATGACAGGTGGGCAAGTTGCGTTATCTTTTGGTTTCTGGGGCGGTGCGATAGGCTCGATTGCACGTCGAGATAACGGAAGCTCTGCGTTTTCTTCACGGTTGTCTCGTGGCCCATCTTCATCCTGGAGCAAAAGCTCATCATCATCCATTCCTGCCATCGACAAGGAGCGAACAGACAGGTACGGTGTGACCAAAAAGGCGGCTGAACGACGGTGATCACGATGCCCCACGCCACCCGTCTCTTCGCACCACTCATAGGGTTTTCCACGGCGGGTACGATCGAGAGAAGTGATTTTCACGGCATCGCTGTCGACTTCTAATGCAACATGATGATCATGACTAGATATAGAACGAGAATATATGGCAAATAGTCTATCGTGTTAGGGACAGTTCTTGAAAATATCTTCGTTGAATTAGGCCTTTCGCACCGGAAAAAGAAATATTGGGGTGGGTTAGGTCTCGATTTCTTTTGTTCATTCGCTCAACTATTTTTTATGGGAAAAATTATCCAAAAGGTTTTCAATTTATCGCACTTTTGCTAATTCAGTCTCAGACCTTTTAATTTTGTCAATTCAGTTCTAAACATTTTCACATTTTGTCAGTTGAATCCATCCTGTCAATTTTAACCGGAAATTGCTGACATGAATGCCGGTAGTGGCACGTAAGACGGCAGGCAGTGCATGGACAATTTTTATAATTTTTTGATATTTTTTATAATTTATATTTTCTTTATTTTTCATTTTTTCTACCAAGTCCGGCGACCATAGGTGAGGGCCAACAACCCTCATTGACTATTGGGTGAGGGTTGCGAAGCCCTCGCCGGTTGTATGCAAGGGCACGA